GATACTAGTTTCCCTGCACATTGAGTTCTGTGCCGGCTCTTGCCCTTCTGCTGGCGGTGTTATTCCTTGTCTCCTAGCCTCCGCTCTTCTGAGATGTTTGCCATCAAGCTAGTCCTCATCCCTTTGTAGACTGTTTGCCTCTTCTTTCTGGTCTTTTGTAGGGTTTTCTGTCTGTCTTTCATGGTCAGCAGTTCTACTATTGTGTGTTGAGGAATGAATTCATTTTTACTCATCCTGCTCTACCTTGCAGTGCTTGGTCATTAACCATGTACCTTCAGGAATTATGAGCTTTAAGCCTGGTGTCCCTGCAATTCTGGAAATTCCTCCACCAATATCTCTTGAAGATGTTGTGTCTCCTGGAGCGCCTGGCTGGCTCAGTCAGTGGAGCCTGCGACTCTTGATCTTGGAGTCGTGAGTTCGAGCCCCACCCTGGGTGCAGAGATTACTTAAATATAAAATCTTAAAAAAAAAAAAAAAAAAAGATGTGTCTTCTGTATTCTCTCCTCTTTTAGGGAGAAACCCCTATTGGACGGTGTTATTCTTTTGCATTTACTTCTCCATTTGTACTGTCTTAGCTTCATATTTTCCATTCCTTTCTCTCTCTCTGCTGAATTCTGGGGGGATTTCCTCAGATTGCTCTGCCAGTTCATTATTTCTCTCTTCAGCACTGTTTCTTCTGCTGCTTAGCCCTTCCAAGTGAGCTTTTAATTTAAATGTCTTCATGCAAGTTTCACTTGTTTGTTTGTTCTTGCCCTGAGCTGACTTACTCTTTTTTCATGCTAGGTTTTGTTGTCTCTCATTGCCCTGTTTTCTTCCTAACTCTTGGGGTACTTCTCTAGGCTTGTGTGCAGAGTTTTTCCTCTTTTCTTTTTTAAGATTTTATTTATTTGAGAGGGAGAAACAGACTCCACGCTGAGCAGAGTGCCTGATACAGAGCTCGATCCCAGGACCCTGGGATCATGACCTGAGCTGAAAGCAGACACTTAACCCGCTGAGCCACCCGGGCACCCCGTGTGCACAGTTTTTCTTTTTGATTGTTTAGTTTTCCCATGGATGGCCTGGCTCTTCCAAGGTCCCAGATCTCCACTTCCTGCAAGCTCAGGGCCCTGTTTCCTTTTCTCCCAGGTCTGTTAGGACCTTGGGTCCCAGCCTCCAGGGTAATGCTCTTTAATAGGAATATAATATGAACCATATATATATAATTTAAAGTTTTTTAGGAGCCACCTTGAAAAACTAAAAAGAGGACGATGAAATTCATTTTAATCACATATTTCACCCACTGTATCCAAAATATTATCATTTCAACATGTAATAATATAAAAACATACTAAAGTTACTCTTTTTTTTTTTTTTTTTTTTTTTTTTTTTTTTTCTGTTTATCCAACACCCCTCCTTTTTTTTTTTTT